AGTCTGCCTGTGGCTGCATGTTAGCTTTCTATTTGCAGTGGTCTTTAGAGCAATGCTATTAATAATGCTGTGTATAACAATAGCTTATATTTATTCATAAATACAGCACCAACATCTTACTTGTCAAAAGGAAAGGATTTTCTTTTTCTATAAAAAGATAATTAATTCAGGCTGGATAAACTTAATGGTGTGTTTGCCATCTGGGCAAAACAAACAAACACCCGAATAAAATTGTGTGAAGTAAAAGAATCAAAATATGGGATAAAAATATGTGCTTAAACTGTATTTTGATTTCTTTAACTACAAACAATTTTCCACCCCAAGTATTATGTTCATGCTTTATTTGACAGAAAATATAAAAGGCAATAGGGCATAGAATAAATACCCAGCTGAACATGGACAAAAGTTTCAGGTGATTTTTCTCCTTTTTCTTTTTTTACACATCAGTAACTTAAGCAAAATGTTTGGCAGGCTCTGCATCTCTTCTCATCAATACCCATGAGGGACAGAACCTCTTATAAGATAAAATAATAATACAGGTGAAAGTGCTTTGTGAACATTAAAGAACCATAAAAGTGCAAGAGGGTTATTATTTCCATCAGCCTGGTGTGTCCTCCGAGAGCCACCTTGAGAGCTCTGGTGTTATTAAATCAACTCGGGAAGCCGAATGTGGCTGATGATCATGATCTTTAATACCCTTAAAAAGAAAGTACTTGTTGAGTGGGACCATCACTGCACCAACTTTCTAGCCTCACCTTTAAGCTCCTCACTGTCACTTATTCAGAAATACTGCTCCTTTCTCATCCTCTCCTTAAATGCACCAGGCTTTGCTTCTTCTAAGCCACTCCACACCCTGACCCCATGAGTTCCTGACTTCATGGAGTATAACTGCACTTTCTCTCCACCCCACCACATCTATCTTGCTTCTTTCCGTGTCTGGTTTGAAACATGCCCATCATCAGTCAGCAGAGTGTATCATTTACACATATCCTGGTCCCTTCCTCTCCCCTATTTTTCTGGATGAGAAGGACCTGCCTCCATTACATCACATGGTTCTCATTAAAATGTGATTTTAAAAATCCTTCTTACAAGAAGCCTTCCCTGTGTTAAGATGTAGACCACAGCTCAATTTTGACTATTGCAGAACCCAACTCTGAGCTTTTGTGTTGATCCTCATGAACAGTAAACAGGTTTGTTGTAGTTGACAGTCAATGAATCACTCTCCAGTAAGTGTTACAAGGAATTCATTAAATGACTGCAATAATAAGGCCCATGTAAAATGATGTTATCAGAAATATGTTTTTACCTTGGGTGGGATTCAGTAGTCAGGAGGTTTTTACTTCTACTCTTCTTTGGATACTAGAAACATGTATTTTTTTTTTTTACATGTCAGAATAAAAGACCCTTTCTCTTGGAATATAAAGAAAAATCCTTACCAGAGCCCATCCCATCAGATGATACTTCATTTGCCAGCAAATAAACTGAAATAACAGTGCTTTCTCTGAGCCTAGTGACTCTGGCCTTCCTGCCACTTTTTGAACATGCCATAATCCTTCCTGGCCCAGGTTTTGGCAGGCTGTTTCTCCAATTGCTCCTTCCCACTCCTCCCCTGCTCCAAATAATTCCTAATTAGAATTTATAGTCGAACTCAGATGCCACTATCGCAAAGAAGCTCTCTCTTGAACCAATCCCTGTATATGCTCTGCTGGAGCCTTTCATAGAATTGGTATAACTGAATGAGCACTCAAGTGATTAATTGGGTCATATGCCTTTCTTGCTAGAACATAAACTACATGAAGTCTGAGACTACCACTGCCTTACTCCCAGCTGTAACTGCAGCACCTGGCATTATGCTCACACAGTAGGTTTTCAACAAAATGGATTACAATATACCCGAAGGAGTGAATTCCTTACTGAAAGAAACAGTGACAATGATGATGATGAACCACCTGTAGGTGATTTTTTTTTTATAACATTCAGGTACTGATAACATTCAGGAAGTGTTGACAAGGTTCTAAAAACAGAATGAGCAATTCTCAATTCTGCTTCTTTGTAATGAGTTCCTCTGCAATTCCTCTCAAGCTTATTTTGAAGTCTAGGACTGAAGAAGTAAAATATCATGACTCTTCATTAATGATTCATTAATTTTTCTTCTCTGTTGCATCAGATAGATTATACAATTGGGGGCTTTTCAATGAAGCTAAATTTTACCTTGCATAATAAATTCCTTAGTCAAAACAAAAATTCAGCCATAAGACACACTCAGAAGCTTGGAACTAAATCTCTGTGGAAATGGGATTTTCCCCTGGGCAAAATGTTTATACATGGTATGCATCTGCTAACTGTGACTCACACATGAATGCAGAAAGCTTACACAAAGCCTGATATAACACAGATGAAGGAACAGAAATGCATTTGCTAGTATGTCTGTGTTTTGGGAGGAGAATATTACTTGGTTTAAAAATTATTCCTTGATTTTATTGTTGTGTACATCAGTTTCACCTATGAGCCATTAAATTTGATGGCCATAAACAGTAACACATCAAAATAAAAGCTCCTTGCACAAAAGCAGCAAAACAAAGTAATTCCATTGACTCTCTGTTCTAGGATAAAGAATGAGAGTATATAAAACTAGACCTGTGACTGGGTTTTAAAAATCCCTGTGCTCACCAATTCTGTCTTGTTCCTGTTTGCACTTCCATGTCCACTGCCTTCTAGTCCTCTTTATTTATTCTGGGAGAAGTTAGAAATAATATTTTCTCATATATCTTTTTCTGTCTCTGCAATGAAGAAAAGATGAGATTTTAAGTCATCAATAGTACTTTGGATTGTAAACCTTACCTTTATTAGCTTTATCTTTACTATGTGAGGTTCTAAGCCTACAGATGTGTGCTTTATTATATGATATTCAGTGAACACTTTCAGCAATTAGGGCAGTAGGTGAGCCAGGAACACAGTGTCTTTGTTCAGGTAAATATCATTTGACTGGTTAATTGCGGAGGACAACTCAAGAAGGAAAAACTTTGAAATAAAAATGAAAGACTGATTTTGTTAAGAATATATAATAGAAATGAAAAGTAAAAGTTAATGTTTTACATTGTTATTTTGTTCTTAAGTTAGCTAAGAGTGTTTTAAGAAGTTACATATCTATGCTTTGGGCTTCTCTCTGCATAATTTTTTTTTGTTTGTTTTTTTTGTTTTGTTTTTTGTTAATTGTCACCTGAATATTTTTCCATTGATTTTTAGGAAGAGTGAAGAGAGAGGGGAAAACAGAGAGAAACACTAATGTGAGAGAAACATATTGATTGGTTGCCTCCTGCCCTAGCTCTGGCCAGAGCCTGGGCTGCTTTGGGTTTCTTAAGACCCATGTTAAGTTATTAATGGGGAGGAATCCTACTTTTGAGGACTAAAAAGTGCCAAATTTTAAACCCACTTGCCTATTTATACACCAGAGTGGATATTTGGTCACTATAATATCCATTGCTATTATTGGTGATGTGACTACTGCTATGATTTTCCTTCCCCCATCTCAGCAAACACTGAAGGAAGGCTAACTTTAAGGATTGAATTAGAAACTTAAAGTTTAAATGGTGCATTTTCCCTACCTTTTATCAACAGAAATCTAGGGGGGAGAGGCAAACAAAAGATAAATTTTAAAAATTTCATTTCAGATGAATCAAAACGAACAAAAACAAGCAACAAACAACTGCCACCATCCCAATCCCTAAACTTTAAAGGGTGGCTTCCAAGTACTATTTGTCTGGACTGAGATCAAAGAGGAACTGAGAGCCAACACATAACTCTGAAGGTCAAATAGGATACAGATTTCTCCAAAACTATCTTGAAAGAAAATGTGAAGTGTATATTGATGAACTACATGAGCATGGATGGTGCACTGGGTGACAAAAGAATGTTGAAATAGAGAACCAGTTTTTACTGTGCAATGGAGAGAAAACAAATCTATAGAAGATCAATTCCTACCCTATGGTCTCTCAGTGAAGAGTCAGAAGTGAATTGAGTTGAAAGAAATTTGTGATGAGACAAGAACATTTCATTTAAGTCATAGTTCACTAAAAGAGAGCTTACAAATCTTAGTATATTGTAAAGCTATATAAATAATTAATTTATGACAGAAAGTTTTGGCTCTAACAAGTCAGTTAATTATTCAAATATAAAGCATACACACACACACACACACACACACAAACCCACAAAACAAACAAACAAACAAAACAAAAAAAAACACTGAAAATAAAGTACCTGTGCTGGAAACTGATCATTGTCAACAACCTTCATTGTTCTGAAAGGTCAGAGCTAGTTCACTCACTGCTTAGTTGAAACATTGTTAGCTGAAGAAGCCTCCATCTCTGTTGTCTTATGTAAATTTCTGTTATTGGAATTTCCTGCTTAAGGGCTGTGGGTATTTCCCATAATCTCAGTAAAAGGGGTAGTAACGCCAGAGCAGTGGATAGTCCTCCCACTAGAGGTGGGCTTCCACCTGGCCCTCACTATCTCCAAATTAATACTTTTCTAGTCTCTTTTCATTTGTGTGCGGCCTTCTCCAAAACCCAAACCCTGAACGGGAACCCTGAACCACGTGGGACATGAAAGGGGTTCCTACATACCTGTACTTGGGAAAGCATGAAATAAAGTATCATTGCAACAATTCACTTTCTACATACCATTCTACCTCTCAGTGAAGGTTTTATTGCCACATTACTGGTACATGCCAAAAAGTTGTGCTTTCTTTCTTTCATAACAATTCTTTATATGTTAATAACCAAATTACAGAGGAAATCCCTGATTTAGCACCTAGTTCCTGCTATCTTGTTGACAGTCAGCCAATTCTCCCTCTGGGGGCCACACTGAGCTGAAAAGTAGATGAAGACTGGTAGTCAGTGGTCCCAGACCCAGCAGTTGTTAAATAATTTGATTATCACCCTTAACAAACGTCCCTTATTTTCTTATAAGAAGTAAAACATCAGTGCAATTTCAAAGGATAAAATATGTACATAATTTTACTCAACAATTTACATTATGCTACAAATATGTACAATTTCAACAATAAATTAAAAAGAAATGTTCATTTACATCAGGTTACTCAATGCCATTTTTCTGCCTTCATTTCTACGAGTTCAACTGATGCAAGATCCTGAACATCTTCTTGCTAGAAAAACTTGCTTTGGTAGCACACTGGAAATGCAAAGTGTTTCGGTGCCTCTGAGCAATGGGAAAGTGTTTGTAAATAACAGAAATGCTAAAGAGGATCACTGCAATCAGGAAGTGTTGATGAACATTTGCACAATATTTACAAAACTTCGCAAAAATTCTTTTACATTTTTTTCCTCCAGTTCCTCACATTCCTTGCATCCAGATTCAGTTATAGTCTGCAAAATAAATAGAAAGGATTAGAATGGAAAGTCTGGTGTATTTCTTTCCTGGGAATATAACATCGTTCAAATCATACAGTGAGGTCGTGAGACATGAAAACTTGAGCAAAGTTAATATCATATTAGAAAGAACTGAGACATTTAATGTGGGCTTATTTTTATAATGGATTAAGGACTTTGACAAAAGTAAGCCATGTCTATCAGACTATGGACTCTCTACTTAGAGCCTACAATGGTTTCTGCTCATAGACCCTCAAATGAAGTCCCTGCCTCCCAGCATGGCACACAGGCCCGCCTTACCTATTTCTCGCATCTCTCCCCACTGTCTCAAACATTCTGCCCTAGGAACACTGAGCTCACACTTTTATCCCCGTGCAGGCCATGCTTTTAGATGCCTCACTGCCTTTGCTTCTCTCTCTGTCTGTTCAATACTTCTTATTTCAGCTGAGATTACACACTGTCTGGACTAGGAAGTTTTTCCCAAACCTGTGAGCTCCTGTGATTAGCCTAAATGTCCCATCAGGATGCCTTCTTTGGATTCTTCCTCACAGCGCATCGTATATGACAATGACATTAGGGAGTTTTATGCTTTTTACACCACTTTTCTTAAATGCTTCCAGGAGAGCGCAGCCATGAAATTTTGTTTCCCTAGTATTTAGCACAGGGCTGTACACATAGTATTCATGAAATCATTGCTGGATGAATTGAACTATTTCGGTGACTACCACAAATCCTTGTAATTCAAACATAGTTTCACAGAGAACTAAAATATTTCAAATGTAGCAGTCATAAATACACTTTTTGAGATCAGCTGAACCATGAAAGCTCTACCAGCAAAAAACAAAATTAGATTCGATATCCATTAAGCACTTGAAATTCAGATTCACCAGTATTCATCAAGCACAGATTCTATGCCAGGCACTGTCATATTCCATATAACGCTGTCTGATTTAATCCCAAAAATAATCATGTCAGATAGGAAAGCAGAGGCATTAAATGACACAGCTCAGTTGACATACTCAGTGAAATTCTCCACATCCAGTTATTTTGACTGTGCAGTCCCACCCACTCTTTCCCCTACGTGTGCCACACTATGCCATGATGAGAGAGACTATGAGCATTGCATAAGAGAGCTGACCATTGATATTGTTATGAATTATCGATATTTGTTGTATGACTCAGTCTTTCTACCAATAAGATAGAAGTGACACATCGCAGGACTATTTTAAACATTAACATATTCTGTTCATAAATATATTGAGCAGGAAGTATATTGTTCTGGGAGTTGGGATCCACCACTGAAAAACAAACAAACAAACAAAAAAACACACAAAACCTGCCCCCTTGAAACGGACATTCAAGTGGAGGAAAGCAGACAATATTCATTAAGTAAAATGCACAGTATGTGAGAGAGTAGTACATGCAAAGAAGGGGACATAGCATGCTGACATAGATATGGACTGCAAACTGTAAAGTGGTGACATCACCAAGAAGGTGACATTTAAGTAAAGACTTAAAGCAGCCTGGAATTCCTTGGGAAAAATCCAAGGTGTCCAACCACACAAGCTTAGGCTCTTTGCACTTAGAGTTCCCTCCGCCTGAACATACATCCCCAAGTATCCTTAATGAATTTAATGCTCATTCCCTTACATCTTTGCCAAATGTCAGCTTGGTAGGCAAGCCTTCTCTAAAGTAGAATCCCGGTGCCTTTAGCTGCCTTCTTTTTGGCCATTGGATTTAGTGAGTAACTGATGTATTCATTTGCTTATTGATCAATTTACTTATGCTTCCCCGCTCCTTAAGAGCAGAACCCATATGTGTTTTTTCACTTCTATTTTCCTGAAGGCCTACAATAGGGCTCAAAAAGTATTTATTTATTTATTTATTTATTTATTTATTTATTATGTCTTCTTTGTTCATAAAACTTCTTTCTATCCACTTTGCTTTGGCCACTAGCGTTTTGCCATGAGAACCATAATCTGTTGTACTTTCTGATCTTCCAGTCATAATCTGTTGTATTTTCTGATCTCCCCAGTGTTTGCCTTCCTGGAACCCCATATTGCTTATGTTGCCTGAGATAGCCTAAATTATTCATATTTAATACTCAAATTGTTCATATTTTTACTATTATCCTTTTACAGCACTTATAAGAAGACAGACTCTGACATGAAACTGCTCGGGTCTGAATTCTGGCTCCCTGTTTTCTTAGCCGCATGAATTGGAAGAAGTAATTCAAGCTCTCAGTGCTCCAATTTCTTCAACATTGAAACAAACAAGGATAACTATCTCATAGATTTATTGGAAGGACTCGGTGATTAACCCCTGAAGATCGTGTCTGGCGGAGTAATAATCCAATAAACATGGGTTACTAGTATTCATGCCAAACCCTTAATTATGTGGAATAATGTCTAGCTGCTGCACCTGCTGATAAAAACCAGTGACCTGACTGGTTCACCACTGTAATTCTAGCATCAAAGCACACTGCCTGGCACTATGCAGCATGCATGTTTTGAATGAATAAGTCAATGAGCAGTTTAGGATTGTGTGCACCCTAGTGATGCTGCCATCCTGGATGCCTCTCCACGGGAATTAACTCCCGCTCCCTTCGGAAGGACTGCTTGTCCATTCTATCCAGCTCATGACTTCCCCCAGTCAAGCCAGAAACATCTGCCTTAATTGTACGACTATTAGTAACTCACCCCATTAGATGGTAAACTGGAGTTTGCTAAGAAGACAATGTTTCCTATCACCTCTCTAATGTCGTTATTTGACTCCTGCCAAATAACACATAACTCCAGGAGAAAGCACTTCATCGCTGTGACTTTGCAATTGGGCTGAAAATAGAGTTACAAAGAACCACTTTGAGAAACACATTATTTTCCCATTTTTCATTTTCACATAGATACAACTTTGATTTTTATAAAAAGTCAATCCAAATATTTCATAAAGAAACACAATACCCCTAAATTTTTTTTTACATAGGAAGCAGCTTGATTTTTTAGCACTGAAATTGAAACCAAAGCAAACTGCTAACAAAGCAATCAAGGAGGATGGTGATATTGTGCAGAAGAAAGAATGAAACTGGAAAACATGGAAATCCTAGGCCACCTTTATTCACTGAGCACAGTTCCTCTGTGTAGCAGGGTGAGAATACTGTCTGAGACTTTGAAAACACTAATATCTATAGTGAAAGAACTTTTAGGATCAGGTGGTACTGTTAACATTTGAAATAGTAGTAGCTGTCAATCATGCTATTCCTGCAAGTTCCCAAGTTTCAGAGGCAGATGGGATTCCAGGAAACTTATTAGAAAAACCAAAGCAGGGGTAGTACCTGGTTGGCCAAATCAGAAAGGTACCTTCAGCCGAAACTGGTTGGCTCAGTGGATAGAGCATAGGCCTGTGGACTGAAAGGTCCCAGGTTCTATTCCGGTAAAGGACATGTACTTTGGTTGCAGGCACATCCCCAGTAGGGGGAGTACAAGAGGCAGTTTGATCGATGTTTCTCTCTCATCGATGTTTCTAACGCTCTATCCCTATCTCTTCCTCTCAGTGAAAAATCAATAAAGTATATTAAAAAAAAAAAAAAAAGGTACCTTCTAGGTACCACAAAAATATGTTTTCTACCTTAACAAAAACTTAAACTGAAAAGAAAAGAGGCATTTAATGAACTCCTGGGGATTTGCCTATGTGATGCTTGACTCCATGAGCTGCCCAGTGCTGGGATCTTGCAGGCCCTGAACAATGCTTACTGCACAGGTGAATAGAAGTAAAACACACTCATGTGCCTGGCACTGGCAACACAATGGTCATTCCTTTATTGGTGGTTTTGATTTCCATGGTTTCAGTTACCCATGGCCAATCACAGTCTGAAAATATTAAATGAAAAATTCCAGGAAAAAACAATTCATAGGGTATGGCTCTATGATCCTCCTGACATGTTATCAGAAGGTAAAAAGTAGCCTAATAAACACTCTATTTCTTCACTTCGTCTGATCACAGAGGCATTGTATATCTTACATCATCATAAAAAGGGTGAATACAGTACATTAAGATATTTTGGGAAAGAGACCACTTTATACAACTTTTTTTACAGTACATTATTGTAATTGTTGTAGTTTGTTGTTATTTATTGTTACTAATCTCTTACCATGCCTAATTTATAAAATAACTTTAGCATATACAGGAAATAATAACAAACTAGAACAATTATAAAAATGTACTTGTAAAAAATTATACAAATATGGTCTTTCTCTCTTTCTCTCAAACATTGTATAGAGTTCGGTACTATCCATGGTTTCAGCATCCACTGGGGTTTGTGGAATGTATTGTGTCCCCCATGGATAAAAGGAGACTAATGCATTCCTTTCCCCCCAAAGCAGCTGTGTGGGATCAAAAGGACAAATACTATCACCAAGCTGGTAATAAAATAAGTAATAAATAAAATCTGTATATATAAAATCCTAATATGCAAAGTGCCCCTCAGGAGGTCATTTGCTTGCTATGATGTGCGCTGACCAGGGGGCAGCATGGAACAAAGGAAGGTCCCAGCCAGCACCAGCAGCTGCTAGGGGCCCTACCCATCCATGAATTTGAGCCTCTAGTAGGATAATAAAAATAAAATCATGGTTCAGACCAAGGTAACACAGCTAGGAAGTGGCTGAGTAAGGATTTAAATCTCAATGTCAGTCTCAGCTTCTTTCTACAACCCAAGAGTTGGAAGGTTTAAAAAAGCAACTTCAGGATGCTGAGAGTTGGTGGTTAATTGACTACTGTCTACTTTGAATAAATGCAAAAAATGGAAAGCATGCTGAAGTCAAAGGAGGGAGACAATTTTTGTGAGCACTGCACTATCTAAATGGTCAGTGAATATCTATTTTTCCTAGTTTCTGGCTATGGCTTCTTTCCAATAATACTTAGAAAGTCCTGGAGGGAGCAAACCCTTCTATTTCAGGGAAGTTCTAATTGAGAAATAACAAAAAGGACTCACTATTCTGAGCAATACATGACATAGTTTGTTTTCCATGAGGTGAAGAAGTCAAGGAATTGTTTCTTGATTTTTAGTAACCAATCAAGAAAAGGAACAGCAACATGCCTGAAGTCATATATGCCTTGGACAATACCAGAGTATATGTAACAAGTTCAATATTATTTTTTAATTCAGATAGGTTTTCTGTGTTGTGTTTGTTTCTTTTCTCAGAGAGAAATCAGCCAGAATCCTTTTCTGACTATTGTAGAGATTCATGCAAAATGTGGGTCATAAATGCATTTAAGCAATTTGTAGAAAATATGACTAAAGATGGTAATATACTACAGCAATGAAGCAACTGATATGTTGGATACTTTTAAATTAAATCAGTTAACCTGATTCTTGCATTTAATTGCATCACAAAATTATATGATATATTTTGTTTGACATTGATGGAAAAGGCTTTTATATTGTACCAAAAAAGCATCTATGTGGTTCTTTGTTCCAAAGCCCCACAATCTCAACAATTACTTATAAAAATTTATTGATTATATAAGAAAACACCAAAATTTAGATTTTAGAACTACATATTTTAGTAAATTTATAAAAATATACTTCTTAGAGTTTGAAAACTGGGAAATATAGCAATTTTGAAATAAAAACTATACTCACCTGAACATCACTTTCAGTATATAAAGTGGCATCAATATGTATAGACTGAAAGGGAGAAAAAGTAGATAATATAAAAAAATATGCACTGCTTTAGATATGAGAACAACCTACTGACAATATTAAATTAAGCTTTTTAAATTAAATTCTTTGAGATAATTTTAGAAATACATAATTATAAAAGAAATTACAGTGAGAGCCTATATATCCTTCACCATTTCCCCCCAATGGTAATATATTGCATAACCACAGTACAAGATTACAACCAGAAAATTACATTGATGCAATTCACTCACCTTGTTCAGATCTCACCATATTTATGTGCAGTAAAGTGTGTATATGCATGTGTGTGTGGGGGTGTGGGTGTGTGTGTGTGTGTGTGTGTGTTGTTCTGTGCAATTGTATCAGTAGTTTGTATTTCAGATATTATATTTTCATTTCTGTAATTTCTATTTGGTTCCTTTTATATAACATATTACTCTGCCAAAACTGATTTTTAAAAAAATATATATTTTATTGTGTGTTTTTTTACAGAGAGAAAGAGAGAGGGATAGAGAGTTAGAAACATTGATGAGAGAGAATCATTAATCAGCTGCCTCTTGCACACCCCTTACTGGGGATGTGCCCACAACCAAGGTATATGCCTTTGACCGGAATCGAACCTGGAACCTTTTAGTCCACAGGCCAATGCTCTATCACTGAGCCAAACCGATTTCGGAGCCAAAATGATTTTTTCAGTTGTTTCAAGAATATCTGTAATTGCTTGTGGCTGCAATTTTATGATGTTGCTTGAAAATCCTTGTGTGATAATTCTGACATCTAATCCATGTCAGTTTCAGAATGTGTTATCTTTTTTTCACTCAATTTATAATTTTTCCTGCTTCTCAAAATATTGAGTGAATTTCAATTGTATTCAGGTACTTTGGCCATTACATTAGGAGACCTTGGTCCTATTTAAATGGTTCTAATTTAGCCTGCAGTCACCTTGATTAGTTTTAGCCTGTGGGGTCTGACCTGTGTGCTTTGATTCCAATGAAGTTCTGTTTTCAGAATTTTTGTTGTGCTAATTTGGAAGGGTGGCTCACTTCATGCCCCTGGGACTCCCTCAATCCCTGCCACCACCCAGTAGGACAGAATACTCTTCATTAAACACAGTTGTCAGAGGCTCCTCTTCTCTGCCCCTACACCCTGTAGGGTTATGGGGCCAGTGGGTGATGTTAGGTTGGAGAGGGCTTCTCTAGCCCATAGACAGACAGCCTTTCCCAGGGTCAGGCTATTCCCCTTGCAATTGCCCCAAAGATGTCTGTTTTCTCTAATAGAAGAAGGGAATCTCTGGGCTGTTGTGACAGAGAGCTCTTCATGCTGGGCCTTTTATAAATTGAGTTTAAAGATAATTAGGATCCAAAAATTGTAAGTGAAAGATTTCAACTGAGGTTCTACAAGGCCCACTAATTTCTGCGAAAATAGTATTATTTCAAGTGAGATTGTATTAAGATTGATAGCAAAACCCAGGGACAGGGCTACTCCATAACAATTACATCAGATAGTTTACGGAAAATTCAGGACTTACTTGAATAAGATTTTCAAAGATTTCCAAATCCCTTATTACATCCTGCCAGTGTGCCTCTGTTTTGGGAAGACTTGCACTGATACAGCTGAAAGCAAAATCAAGAAGTAAAACATTTTGAATGAACGTAATACTGTCATGATAAATACTAGTGGTAAAAGAGCAAGCAAGAAAGTTTTGTACTGATGAGTGAAAAGATGAGTGCTAGTCTTGCCTTCATGCATCAACATCCCTGTAGAGGAACAGGAACACTGAACACATAAGACAACCTCGTGTTAATTTGAAGTTAATTTGAGGATTGACCAAGTTATGAAGACATAACATATAAAAACAGGGCGCAACTGATTATAATGAATACAAATAGTACCTAATGTGTGGTATGGCTCAGTAAATGTTTTTGAGTGAATGACTATTTTTTTAAGTAGAGGTCCTATCAGACTTTTTAAGTCAAATAAATAGGTAAAATGTTTAAAGTGAGCAATAATCACTTTGATATAATGATTTTGAACTGAAATGTTCTTTATAGTACATTAAACATGCGCCTTTGTATGCTGTGCAAATCATTGCTATGCTTGCAGCTGCCTTCTCCATAAACATGACAGACTTTAAGCCCAATCTAGGTTGAGTGATCATATACTTACTCGTTTTGGTAAAATGGAAATTTTGAATCTGGACAAAAGACACGTACACTGACCAAATGACTATGGGATGATTCTGAAAGCGCCACTAAAAATAGCTGCACCCTCATGGATTTTCATAGAAGCTCTGAACCAACACTAATCATTCTTGTGAGGAAGATTTACCTGTGCAAATCTATCGGTTCCCCATACTGTGAGATAAAGGCTGACCTGAGTCAGACTACAGAGCTAGAGGTTGTATGCTTAGGTCAAGCAGCGTGGTTTATTAGTTATCTAAGAAAGAAAGAAAAAGTTAATTGGCATGGAAAATACAAATGTTTATTAAGAGGAAAAAGGAAGAAAGAAAGAAAGAAAGAAAGAAAGAAAGAAAGAAAGAAAGAAAGAAAGAAAGAAAGAAAGAAAGACATGCTTCCAAATGAACTAGGATAGGGCTCATAGGATAGCAGAAGCCAGTGTCAGGAAATAGATTTAAAAAAAGGAACGTGACTGAATCCTAAATATCTATTTTGTTACAGCCATGAAAATCATGCAGGATATTAATAAGGAAGGTACTTTCAAGTGTAGTTATATACCAAAAGATCCATTTTATCTGCAGAATGTTAATATTCTTCGAGATCTTATTAGAATATAGAAATGGTCAGTGTTTACCAAACTTCCTGAGTCTCCATAATCAGCCTTCTCTCATACCCCAAATACTGACTACCTAAGGTGTAAGCCGACTGAACATACACCTTTTCATAGGGAAGATAATGAAGAAGAGAGGCAATTAGCATGATGATATTTATGCCTAAAGATAAAATTACCCCCAAATGAAGACATGAATGCCAGCCTCAGTTAAGAAATGACTATTCAGAAGTAAACACAAATAGCACTGGATGGACGTACTCCTCAAATATGGTTTCTGGAAAAAAAAGTCATAGAGAAAATGATTAAATATTTTAGTTAAAAGGTAATATTAAAATTAGTAGTTTATCATATCTGTAAATTAAAATTTAAGAATTAATCTTCCTTTTCAGAATTAATAAAACTAGAATTTATCTGCTGTGATGCCTGCCCTCCAGCTTTGTTTCTTGTGGGCAAAATTATTTAATATGTTTTTAATACATACCATTTTAAGGAAATGTACAAATCTAATAATATCACCACTAATTTTTTTTATTATCCTTAATCTCCTCATCCTTCTTTCATTTTTAAATAGTTCAACGTATTTTATGTAGCATAGATTAATAACAAAAATACTAACCTAGGTTTATAGTTCTAGATTAATTTCATGCAACTGTATAAAATTAATTATAAATTAATATCATTTAGAGAACAAATTGGATAGAAATGGAAGCAACTGAAGACACTCAGGGAAAATAAGGGGGGATGGGGGTAAGGGGAAGAGATCAACCAAAGGACTTGTGTGCATACATATGGGCCTAGCCAGTGGCCATGGACAACATGGGTTGGGGGAAGAAAGAGGGTGAGAGGGGGCATATCTAGGGAGGGGTTTGGGATGGGAATGGGGAAATAAGGACAATTATGTGAGACCATAATCAATAAAAAAAAATAACCTTTCTTGGTAATTTAGAAATATCACCTCCTTTAGGACCTCCCAGAATTTAGATACTTTTGTCTGCCTCTTCCATGTTGTCAAAGCTTTAGAATTTCAGATGGCAGTGTTGACTGTCACCTTAACCACTAAGACTCTGTAATTAATTTAGTCTATGCTGAAGGGATGAGTAACAAAAACCCATACTGCACAATTCACTGAGGATATCTATATTTAAAAAACAATAGAGTGAGGTAAGTGAAATAATACATTTACAAGCAAGACACAGAGAGTATATCAAGATTGTTAAGAGAGTTAAAAAACCCATTATATTTACTTTCAAAATAAGAAAAATCCATGTGAGAACAGACATCTGTTACATCCCAAGATCTCTATAGAAGAGTCACATTATGAAATATTTGATATTTAAGTGACCTTTTAGAAAAGTCCATATACAGTACTATCTTCATCTAATTATTCTTACCGAAATTCTCATTACTCAATGCCCAGATAAAGCCTTAAATATTGAAGAAGAGCTGACTATGGCAATGAGTTTCCAGCAGCCATCCATCCAGAATACTTCCTATAATAAAATCCAGGGGAAATAATGATCCATTAAAAACACAAATAAACTACAAGGGGTGAGAGGAAGAAAGGAAAGGGAATTAATATTTATTGAGCACCTATTTTTTCCCCAAGGGCACTCTATTGGTCACTGAATAAATGCATCACATTTAATCCTCACAAAAATCCTATGGGGTAGGGTTAGCAGCATTTGGTAAGCTATCTGGGCCCCACAGCAAGTCTAAGATAGCCAAGATTAGAGACCAACCAATACATGATTCTCTCTCACCTCTCTCTCTCTCTCTCTCTCTCTCTCTCTCTCTCTCTCTCTCTCTCTCTCTCTCTCACTTTCTGAAAAAAAAAATGTGTGTGTGTGTGTGTGTGTGACCCATGTTGGTAAAAAAAAAAAAAACACCAAAAAACACTTTAAAAGATAAAATATTCTATTCCTTTCTCTTTGTTCAGGACTCAATGTGTTACTATTAATATAATTATTATCAATGATGATAATATTAATTGGGCTATGTATTGCTTACCTAGTTCTCTCAGATTTACCAAATTATTCTCATGTACATTATCAAATTCAATCCTGGCAATATTGTTAATGTGGAAGATACTACTCTTATTTAACAGTGAAGAAATTGAGGTTCTGAGAGATTAAGCAGTTTGCGTCAGGTAAATATCATGCATGTGGCCATAAAATATGACCTCACAATTCAGGTTGGACAGGGTGAGAAGGCATGCAAAGAATTTCACAAATTCTGTGGTTGGAAAGTGTAGGCTCCTTGCTGTACGAAGAACCTGACCCACTCCAAGTGGATAATAAATAAAAAGCCACCGTCTCTGCTAGCATAAAAGCAGGTCTTCCAAAGCAGAACTCAGCTTCTCCCATGGGCATTATCTCAGTTGACTCTCACCAAAAACCTGTCAGAGGGAAGTGGCTGAAGCCAGGTTCACTACTTTATGAGAGGCCAACATAGGGATGAAATACATTGTCACTTCCTTTGCTGCCATAATTTTTGAGAACTACTGAAGAGTGTTTAAGCCTGGCATATGAATTGCATGTATAAAATTCCCTCTTAATCAGTATCATTTGTTTGTCCTCATTCACCTGGATGCCTGCAGCTGGGAATTACAAAAAGACTAAGTTCTAGCCTGACCCTCAGAGAGCTCACAGAGTTTAAACCGTAAGTTTTGGCAGTGCTGTGACTGGGTCTCACTGCACAGTGCTTGTTGACCTGATAACTGACACTGTGACTGCCCAGGGGTCAACACAAGAAGAGTGGACAGGCACATCAACACATCTGGCCAGTTCTAAAAGCTTCAGTTCTGCAGTGACTTGTGAAAAGAGCTGTAAATATGATACATCCTATACCAACGTTATTGAATATCCCACGGAGAAAATATAATCTAACACATGCCTGTTTTGCTTTGTTTTATTCTCTTTGTTTACTTGCCTCGTTGCACATGTAAAATAAATTCTCATAGACTTAACAACAAGAGTTCTAAATATAAGTTTATACAGTAGAGACATTTATCGATTCACTCAAACACACTAAAAATGAGGGCAAACCAAAATTGAATGTATCATATAAAGGATGTAAGGGAGGGTAGCTGTCCTTTATTGGAAAATAGGTCGATGTGGAGGTGTAAGTTCTCAACTATGGCTTTGGTTTTCCCAGTTAATTAAGACTAACAGTCATCAGCAGAGAGTGACGATGGGGAAGATGTGTTAAGGGTTGAGGACAGAGGAGAATGAAAGAGATCATCATCAGGGTAAGAAAGAGAATAAACTAAAATAAGTATGGAATGAGAGCCATGCCTATTGGAAGTTCGTGGTCATGAATGGCCAGGAGGTAAGATTAGTGTGTGTTTTCTCCAGCCACATTAAGCTGCAAGGAACAGGTAGGCCTGGAATAGGTAGAAAACTGGACTGAATCATAGATCATAGTTGTGTATGCCAGGCAAGCGCAAGAAAGAGAAAAGCAGGGGCTGTAGAAAATATGTTAGGGGATGTAAGGGAGCTACGTTCATGGAATTTTCTTTTCTTTTTATTATAAAACTTCATGGAGGAAGTGATATTGGAATCACACCGTAAAGGATGGACAGATTTTACACATGAGTTTTTAAAAGGAAACAACATTCTAGGTGGAAGAAAGAGTTGAGCAAGAACATACACAAAACAGTACACTGTGTATTCAGAGAAAAGGCAGTCATTTGGTAACAGTCTGAAAGTAGTGGTAAGTAAGAGTGGACAAATCTGTTGCCTCTGTATAAAGCAGGAATTGGTAAACATTTTCTCTAAAGGGCCAGACAGTACATCAGGCTTTCTTAATAATAAATCTTTATAGGGTCTGTCTTGAAGATGTTACTCTGCTATTCCATTGTGAAAACAGCCATAGACCATGCATGAATGAATAGGTGTGGCTATGTTCCAATACAACTTCATTTATCAAAACAGTTGGTGAATTTGACCCACAGCTTATAGTTTGAAGACCTATGACTCCAGTGGATCTCTTAATCAGTCCCATTTGAGTACAGCTGATAAACTGATACCTTCAGATGTCTCAGATTTTCCTGGCTGTAATTAAGGGTACTGGCATTTTTCAGTAATTGTGTTTATACTATTAATTGACACCCATATTATGAAAATGTCAAGCATAAAATTTTGTGAAATAATCTGTGTTCACTAGTAAGTTAAAAAATATATATGAACTGTGTTACCATGGTTACTACAGTGATTTTGAAAAAGTAATCCATACAAAGATAAGATCTGAAGTTGGTATTTAATGCTCTCGTAAAGCCACACACATGTTAATAGGGCCCATAAATCTCTGCTTATCAAAAACAACAAAAGTAAATGATTAGGTAGAATGTTTCTTTTTAAAAAAATACAATTTCATACATGGTTTGTAAAATATATGTATTTTAAATATAAATTTTTAAGTAAAATGTTTTTCTTGGGAATACAATACAAATTGCTAAATTATACTGGAAAGTCTCCGAAGCAAATTGTACACATTTAAATATCTATAATGCCAAGGACAAAGGCAGTGATAAAATTTGGATAGCTAGGTTATCATGACTATTCAAAAAAAATTTTTGTTAAATAGATGGTATCATAAAAGGTGAATAAAAAAATACCTCGGAAGTTTATCATATCAGATAGACAATGATGATGCATACATGTAGCTAGAGGGCATCTCTCTTAGTATAGTTTTATGTAGTAATATGTTCATGTGCTTTAATTTTTTTTCCTTTTTTTATTGATTTTAGAGAGAGGAGGGGAGAGAGAGAGGGAAAAAACACATCAGTGTGAGAGAGAAACATCAATTGGTTGCCTCTCACATGCACCTGGACTAGGGATTCAAACCCACAACCTGGTACACGCCCTGTTCAGGAATTGAACAAGCAATCTTTGGGTGCACAGGATGACACTCAACCAATTAAGCGATACTGATCAAGGCATGTACTTTTTTTTTTTTAATCATTAGGTGCAAACATTCTTGAAAAGGGTTTGTGGGTTTTTGAAAAATGCTAGTTAGTACGCTTCTTTAAGGCAGTATAATGTGATATTTAAGGAACTTTGGGGCATTAAACAAGTTGACATTTAGTATATTTGGATCTAAGTACTTTTTTAAAACCTAATTCACTTATTTATTTTGCAAAAATGTGATATTCTTGAGGTTAGAAACCTTGTTTAGTTCGTTTGGTCCTATACCTCCAACACAGAAAAGTATCCATGATGCATGATAAGTGCATATCACATGTTTGTTGGATTTTATTTTTAATTTATTTATAAC